ATAAGCACGTGGCCTGACAAAACTGATTTTCAAAAAATTCCACCTTAATCAGAGGGTTAACCTTTACACTTCCCAAATGAAAACCCTTGAATCAAATGACTATTTTTAATCCAAAATATGAAAAGACGGGGCACCTCGGTGGCCCAGTTGGTTAAGCCTCTCCCTTCGACTCAGGTCATGATCTCAGGATCCTCACTGCTCAGCTGGGAGTCTGCTTCTCCCTCTCCCTGTTCATGCTGTCTCTCTCTCTCAAATACATAAATAAAATCTTTAAACACAAATATGAAAAGATGTCTGGGGAACACTTCTTGACAATAAAAAAATGTATACTTCCTTTACTGTATTTTTTCCTCTTTTATATCCACCCTAAAACTAGCAGACAACTTCAGATTTTACCAATTGAAAAGAACTATTAAGCTAGTATGTGGTGTATTTGTTCATTTTCATATCACCCAAGTATTCAGGAAAAATTGGGTCACTTTCAAAACCAAGTCAATAGGGTTTTAGAGGGCTATTTCTAAGCCTTTAAAAGAGTAATCTCCCAGAGTTTTAACTGTTCTTTGTTCTTGCCCACAGTAAATCTCGGGACCAAATGTCTGATTTTGATTTTTTAAGTGCTGTCAGCCAATCTTTTCATTGCCACATTCTCCAACATTCTTAGAATAAGAACACGGTTTCCTAGAAAAGCTACAGCAATTACACACGACTTGGAAGTAAACACTCTATTTTCAAGTCACGAGATGGTATAAGCCTAAAAAAATTTGCAAAACCATACTAATTCTTCAGTAAGTTTACATTTCAATTACTGCAAGGCTGAAAGACTTTAAGTAGGCCATATCAGCCACACTATACAGGAAATTATATCCTAGGAAAGCTCTGTTTTAAAAATAGGCAAAGGAAGAAAGGAAGGTTGCCAAAATACACAGCACTTTCCATTTGTTTTGATTTGAGCACAGCATCTGTTTTATCAGGTGCAATCTACTATTTGCAGGCTTAAGGGGAATGGTAGTAGTTAGGGTGGAAAGAAGTAAATTAATCTAAAATGTTTGCTTTCTGAAAACAATTTTGAAGTAGATACCAGTGGAATTTAGGTAATAACCAAATTCCACAAAGAAACTGAGCTTTGGGTAAGTCAGACTGGACTGACTACTCCTTAACCCAGCAGAATCAAAGCTGAGAAACTAGACCAATCCACTTAAGAAATGTACACTCTTCAATTCTTCTTCCTTTTCTTATTCTTTTTTTTTTAAGATTTTATTTATTCATTTGAGAGAAAGAGAGCACGAGGCAGAGGGAGAGGCAGACTCCCTGCTCTGGGGAGGGAGCCCAGCATGGGGCTGGATCCCAGGACTTGGGAGATCATGATCTGAGCCAAAGCAGATGCTCAGCCATCTGAGCCACCCAGGCACCCCTTTCCTTATTCTGAATATTCCTTTAGTCATTCATTCAAAAAATTCCGAGTACCTACTATATATACTATGTACTGTTCTGGGTAGGGGAACATAGTTAACAAAACAACAAAACTCTAAGGAGCTGTTTCCGGTGAGGAGGACAAACACACATACAAACAATATCAGGTAATATAAAAGGCTATTAAAAATATAACAGGGAAATCTGAAGAAGATTAACTTTGCTAAGAAACTACCATATGCAAAACAAAGCAAATGTGGATGGGATCATTATATATGAAAACTTGAGAAGAGAGTTCTAGTAAAACTGTTATGATCAGAGTTAGGTTCAGATTAAGTTTAGGCGAGGCTCAGCAAGAAAATAATATTTGAACATTTTGTCAAAAGTAAATTTAGACTGGAAATACTTAAAGAACTGCCAACGTTTTCAAAACCTTCTAACTTCATCTTTAACCATTTTGATCGTAGTTGATTTAGATGCTTATGAGTCCTGTCCTGGTACTGACTGGTTAAGCGGCCTCAGTGCCCTTCTTAAAAAATATCCTTATTTTTGTGGCCCTGGAAGGTCTACTTTGGACGCACATCTACTGGCAGGTTGTGGAAACCGTTCCTACTTCTTTGTGAAGCTAGAATCCTCACCTACTTTTGTAAAGGTAGCATGGTAGCAGAGAAAGAATAAAACATTATAAACAAGATATCCAGTCTGGTACCATTCCTGCCTTAATGATCCATGTGACCCTGGACGAGTTGATTTACTTCTCTGAGACTGTAATACTGAAATATTTTCCCTGCCTACTTTATTTATTGGTTTAGAGTTGTAGTGAGGACCAGTGAGATATTATGGTACATGAAATAATGTCTCCCTCCCCCAAAGATGTCTATGTCCTAATTCCTAAAACCTAAGAATATGTTAGGTTACATGGTAAAGGAGAAATCAGGTTGCAGATGGAATTCCACTTGCCAACCGGGTGACCCTAAGATGGGGAGAGGATCCTGGTTTACTCAGGTGGACCCAGTGTAATCACAAGCATCCTTGTAAGCAGAATAAGGAGGCAGAAGAAAGAACCAGAGGGATGGAAACATGAGAAGTCTCAGCTCAACGTTTCTGGCTTTGAAGAGGATGAATAGAACCATAAGCCAAGGATGCACGCAGCCTGTAGAAGCTAGAAAAGTTAAGGGAACAGATTTTTCCTTCGAGCCTCCAGAAAGAGTAGAGCCCTTTAGATCGATGTCAGATTTCTGATCTCCAGGACTGCAAGAGAATACCTCTGGGTTGGTTTAAGCCAGTAAGTACGTGGCAATTTGTTACCGTAGCAATTAGAAACAATAATATATAAAAGTATTTTGAAATTGGTAAGAAATCATATAAATGCAAATGTTCTAATGTGATATCTCAGCTTGGTCTCTCTAGCAGCCTTGACCGCAGATAACATGGTCACCAGGTCTTCCGGGCTGTATCATATTTCCTTGTTAAAAGGTAAATGCCCTGCCTTTTCTGTTCTGATGCCTGACCATTTCTGCTTTTAGGTTTTATTTCATTTGTGGAGAGATGATCACCATGTAACTATCAAACCAACTGCCTTTCTACCTCCCTAGTTTCTCTTCAACTAATTCTGATGTTCCCAAGAGGATGATAAGTGAACTTTTCAGTCATAATATTATAGCAAAATTATGTACAGATAATTCCTACTCCATTAATGAGTTATTCGCTAAAAACTACAAGGCAATATGTGAAGTATATATCTAAGTACACACATGTATGCATACATATGTATATACAGTGACATATACCAAGTTTTATAGTTTTTCCATCAGTTTCAATGTTACTGGATTCTCTTCCACAGCTTATCTTCAACTTATGAAGCAGAATTAAAATTTCAGGGTTAGACCATTCTTATTAATCCCAAACTTAGAGACAAATACAGTAATAAAAATTTGAGTATTAAGGGATTAAAACACACAAACCCATGTTTTTAAGTCTCTAAAAATTAACACTAACAAAGTTAAACCGATGCACTATAAGAAATAGATAAATACTTTAGAATGGTCAGTCCCTAAATAACACCATCTTTTTTGCTCTTTTGCCATTAACTTACACATGACAGGCCTATTTCTTTTTTTCAAATTATTATACCTTCATATTTCTTACTGTTACTCCCTTTTTATTTTAGGGCATGGTATTTGTGTGCCCACTGGTAATATCTTCGTATTACTACAGCTTCTCATATAAACTTCATTTTCAATTTGTACTTAATTTTTTTCCAATAAAATCACCCAGATTTAGAGGCAAGATAGGAGAATACCACAAATACATACACAAAGACACAGAGGCATACCAGTTATTGCATATCCTGTTTATAATGCTTTATAGGGGAAATAGGTGCAAAGTTGAGAAACTTCTCCCTGTATATTTCAACTGTAGTTAATTAGATACAGAAAAAAAGATCTCCTTTAATAGCAGTATGACAAATATTCCAAATAAGAAGAAATGTATCAGCTAGTACAGTTGACACTTGAACAACACAGGTTTGAACTGTGCAGGTCCACTTACATGTAAATTCTTCTTTGAAAAATATAGTACAGTCCTATAAATGCATTTTTTCTTTTTTTTTTTAAAGATTTTATTTATTTATTTGATAGAGAGAGAGAGCAGGAACGCAAGCAGGGGGAGTGGGAGAGGGAGAAGCAGATTTCCCGTGGAGCAAAGAGCCCGACGTGGGGCTGGATCCCAGGACCCCAGGATCATGACCCGAGACGAAGGCAGACGCTTAACGACTGAGCCACCCAGGTGCCCTAAATGTATTTTTTCTGCCCTATGATTTTTCTTAACATCTTTTCTCTAGCTTACTTTTTTTTTTTTTAAAGAGCAGGAGAGTGAGAATCCTAAGCAGGCTCCACGACCCAGCAATCATGACCTGAGATGAAATTAAGACTCTGATGCCAAACCAACTGAGTCACCCAGGTGTCTCTCTCTAGATTACTTCTAATGGAGTATTTAACATACATGTGTTAATTGGCTGTTACCTTATGGGTAAGGCTTCTGGTCAACAGTAGGCAATTAATAGCTAAGTTTTGGGGGAGTTAAAAATTATATGCAGACTTTCTACTGCGGGGAACCCCTGTGTTATTCAAGTTTCAGTTGTAAAGGCTGATTTACGAAGAAAAAAGACTGCAATTGTCAATAGTAATGAGGTATCTGTATATTTAAATCAATTAAAAAGCTATGAAAAAAGGAAAAAGGTTTGGGGTGAGAAAGAATTATGTTCTCAGTCTACCTATAAATTCACAGGCTAAAAAACAGACGCCCCCCCCCAACTTCTTAAACTGGAACTTAGACAAAATGAGTAAGAGATCCAATTGCCCATTTGGAAATCATACACTTACTCAAATGCCAACTGACAGTGAACTTTTTTTTTGAAATTCCACTTTGGAATTGTACTCAAAATTAGCTTATGAAGTTAGTCTTTTTATTTACATAACATTTTTAATCAAAAACATTATCCCAGCTATTTCTAAAATAATGATTTTCTAGTCTTATATATCACAGATACATTAAGCTAGAATTAATCACTCACAAAACTATATACTTACATATTCCTTCACGTTTTTTGTCTTCACAGCTTTGTATGAATAATATGCAGGATAAAGCATTCCAAACACCAACCTAAAAGTAAAAGTATGAGAAGACTAATCAAATACAATAATGCTTTTAACTACTTATAAAAATTATACCTAATACAAAAGTAGAAACTACATGGGAAACATACAATGGTGTATATTTGTATGAATGCAAATTTGTGCACAGACTAAATCCACTCAGAAAGCAAAGTAAAAATACTTTTTTTTTTTTAAAGATTTTATTTATTTATTTGAGAGAGAGAGAGAATGAGAGATAGAAAGCACGAGAGGGAAGAGGGTCAGAGGGAGAAGCAGACTCCCCGCTGAGCAGGAAGCCCGATGTGGGACTCGATCCCAGCACTCCAGGATCATAACCTGAGCCGAAGGCAGTCGCTTAACCAAGTGAGCCACCCAGGCGCCCAAAATACTTTTTTTTTAACAAAGAGGATTTTAAAATTCTAGGTACAGTATCATGGGAAAAAATTTATATTTTAAAAATCATCATTTAAAAAAACTTTCTCATTGTACACCTGAAACTAATAACACCGTTAATTATACTTGAATTTAAAAATAAAGCCTTTGTCATCACAAAAAATGGTCTATGGTTCCTTGAACATTTGGAAAATGTAGAAAATCACCAAAAATAAAAATTGTCCCAACCGTACCAGCCAGAACTGCAGGCAACATTTTATTGTATGCAAATCCTACTTTTTGTCCACATGTAATATTCCCAAAACCTAAATACAACACGTGTGCACACACACACAACTTGTAATACAAAAGTAGTCCTTTACTCTATTTTGAGAAGTACTGGCTACTGATTATAATAATGGTGCTGTCAATACTTGATATATTACAACATGCACTGAAATAGCTCTCTTTAAACATTTATAAAATGCCTAAATCATTAACAAGATTTAATTTAATGCCATCTGTTAAGATTTTTTTGCCAAATCACAGATCCAACAGGTATGTACAATCACATATACCATGAAAGGACAGACCCGGAAATGGAACAACACCTATACATGGCTTACAGTTGGCATTTTCAGGTAATACATCATGGAGTTTTTTGCCCTCAAATATTCTACAGTATGTATTTTTAATACCTTCATTACATTCCACATTGAGATTCCCTTAGTTTATTTAAATAATCCCATATAATAGGTTTTTTGTTGACTTCCAGGTTTTTTCGATTGCACAGAACATAAAAACAGTTCTCTGTCCATTGATACGCACTTCCTGGTTAGGATGTTGCTGCTTCAAAGAGTACATACATTTTTACCTATCATCAAAATGCTCTCCAGAGAAGCAGTTCCACTTTACATTCCTATACATGGCTGATCGCTGGCATCATTATTTAAAAAACAAAGTTTGCCAGCTAAATAGGGGAAAAATAATCTCACTGATGTTTTAATATACATTTCTGAATACCAGTAAACATGATTTTCTTTTCAAGTGTTTACTGGCTTTTTGATGCATATGGTGTATGATATCCTGTTGTCTACTTTTCTGATCTATTTAAAAAAAATCTTTTGGAATAGTTTTAATTTTACAGAAATGTTGGGAATACACTATCGTTACTATAAACCCTATATGTGTCCCCTCTTATCTACATATTGCATTAGTATGGTACATTTGTCACAATTCACAAACCAATATTGATATATTATTAACTGAAGTCCATATTCTATTCAGATTGCTTTAGTTTTTATCTACCATCCTTTTTCTGACCCAAGATCCCATCTGGGATAGCACATTGTATTTACCTATCCTGCCTCCTTAGGTCCTCCTGGTTTAAAAAAAAAAAAAAAAAAAAAATTCTCAGACTTTCCTTGGGAAATGACTTTGACAAGTTTTGAGTATTGGTGAATACCGGAGGAGATTCCTTTACTGGAATTTGTCTGGTGTTTTTCTCGTGATTAAACTGAGGTATGAATTTTTGAAGAGGTAAAGTACCATTTTATCCTATTATATCAAGGACACACTATCAACATGATTTATCACTGTTGATGTTAACCCTGACCAGCAGGCTGAGGTAGTGGTCAGACTTCACTGTGAGGTGACTCCCTACCCCAGCCCTGTCCACACTGTATTCTTGGGAAGGAAGCTGCTATGCACAGGCCATACTTGAACCAGGGAATTATGTTCCACCTTCTTGAGTGGAGTATCAATGCAAATTATCTGAAATTTTTCTGCACGGGAGATTTATCTATTCTCCACTTATTTATTCAATGATTTATTTATATCAATAAGGACTCCTATGTTTATTTTACACTTTGGGTTTTAATACAGTAGTACTTCATTTTGCTGCTCAAGGCTTTGAACACTGAGATCTTTCAGTTTGCTCCCGTGTCCCTCTGACAGACCTTATAATTGTGTGTTTTTTTTTTTAAACAATACTTTCTGGCATTATATAATGCTCCAGACTCATCCAATGTATATTCTGCCTCGTTCCTAGAATCAGTCATTTCTCCAAGGAGTCTTGGTTCCTTTCACTGGAGGGTGGTATTTAAGACCAAGTTCTGGGTGCTACACATGCTGGTACTGGAGTGTTGTAGATTCTAGGTCCTTCTTTGTCTATTTTGCATATTAAGCAATTTTTGTCTAGGTTCTTGTTATCTTTTGATATTGTTTATAAGTTGTTTTGATGTTGTTTGATACTGTTTTGGTATTATTTACATATTGCTAAAAATACATGTTGAACTATGTTTGTTGGGCTGTCATTAAATAAATACCACAGAGGGGTGGCTGGGTGGCTAGGGTCTGTGATTGAGCCTTGAATCAGGTTCCCTGCTCAGCAGAAAGCCTGCTTCTCCCTCTCTTCCTCTGCTGCTCCCCTGTTTGTGCATTCTCTCTGTCAAGTAAATAAATAAAATATCTTTTAAAGTTTTTTTTAATAAAGATTTTATTTATTTATTTGACAGAGAGAGAGAGTACAAGCAGGGGGAATGGCAGGGAGAGGGAGAAGCAGGCTCCTGCTGAGCAGAGAGCCCGACGTGAGGCTCGATCCCAGAACCCTGGGATCATGACCTGAGGGGAGGCAGATGCTCAACCGACAAAACCAGGGGCCCCTATAAATAAAATCTGAAAAAAAAAATACCACAGATTGGATGGCTTAAGCAGTAGATATTTTCTCATAGTTCTGGAAGCCAGAAGGCCAAGAGCAAGGTGTTGGTGGGTTTGGTTTCTTTTGAGGCCTTTCTCCTTGGACTGCAATGGTCACCTTCTCACTGTGTCCTCACATGGTCATCCCTTGGTCTGTTGTAACCTCCTCTTAGAACACCAGTCACATTGGATTAAGACACCTCAAAGACCTCATTTTAACTTAATCGCTTTCTTTAATCTTTTAACTCCAAATACAGTTACATTCTGAGGGACTGGGGGTTAGGACTTCATATGAATTTGGGGGACACAATTCAGCCCATAACACCTATATTTATGAAGTTTTATATTAAATAGGTGTTTGTATTTAATATTAAATAAGCTTTTTCTTACACTGAGAATGGATATCTACATTTCTATATTCTTTGTTCATTTATAGTTTATTTTTTGGTAGGGGAGGGATAGTAAATACCTGTTGACTTTGTTATTCCTCACAAAAATGAACCCTGAGTTTGGGGCTGTTGTCACCAGCTCAAAGGAATACCAAGTCTTCTGCTGGGGATTTATCTTCACCACTGGAAGCCACATTATTAACAATCTCTGCCTTAGTTAACAACACTACCCTGTGAAGTCTACTTTAGAAGAAACCAATCCACAGACTCTGGATACAGGATTTTTAGCCTAGCCACAGAACCCAGGGCTTTAGGATTTAACACATGGCAACCCCTAAAAGGCACAGGGGTCATCCAGCCTAGTGAGTTCTGAGAAAGCAACAACCAAAACACAATTTCCAGGTCTGCAGTGTTCATCCCCACTGCTGACACAAGGTACAAATCCCACAGATAGCCATAACAGTTCTAGTTTACATATTTGAGTTAATTTCAGTCCACTTAGTATTTCCCTTTAGAATTTGGATACAATCGATTATCTTCCATAGTCCCATGTCCTCTTGTACCACTGGATTTAAATTCAACATGAGACTCTTCATTTTTGTCACTGTATGATCTTTTGACTCCCCCTTCCTCTGCTATACTATCTATCCAATCTCTAACCCAGTCCTGTTGGTTTTTCCTTGGTGAGAGTCCAAGAATCTATCTTCCTATTTTATTTTCAAACCCACGGCCAGTGATACATTTAGGCTCATGCCATCTCCTCTGACTTAACGGTGTCATTTCCTAACACAAGCCTCTGGCTCCAAAGTCAGATCAATCTTCCTAATATACCTGCTGCGCTGCCTTGCTTAAAGACTTCAGTAGCTGGCCTCCTTACCACCTTGTTGACCAGCCCCTGTGGTGGCTCATCAGAACATAATCTGAAAACTTCTTCCTTATATAAGCCATTTATTCCAACATGGTTTCCTCAATATGCCTTTTTTTTTCTTCAAGATCTACCACTTCTCCATAGACTTCTAATTGTTTTGAATTTTAGAATTTGTCGGATTAATCATTTTGCCTTTAGTATATTCTAGATTATATTTTTTTAATGTAACTGACTTCCAAAACATAATTTTCTCACATATAGTAAGGATTTGGTACTAGTTGATACTATGCTTGTAGGGGCGGTGCTTTGCTTTGTTTTTTAACCTCTGTATAGAATAGAATCAGTCAAATTAATAAACACAATATCCCTTAACACCTAACTCTTTTAAGAGTAGAAAACAGTAATGCATTTCATTTGGAACATGGGAAAGATTAAATGTCTTAATAAACAGTAAGACAATTTTTAAGGACCAACACTATTATAATTTATTACTGCTCTAATGTGAATATTACTGAGTAATTTATTACTAACATCTGCAATAGTTTTTAGGTTTTTTTTTTTTTCTGGTTTATTTTCTTTAATATTGAGTCTTACTCTGGATGTTTGCAACCTGGGAGGTCGGGCATAAAGCCAAAGCATGAGCACAGTGTATAAAATCAAGTAGTTTATTTTAAAAGGCCA